AGTGCCAGGTCCTGCACTCTGGCCACAACAACCCCCTGCAGCGCTACAGGCTGGGCACAGAGTGGCTGGAGAGCAGCCAGGCAGAAAGGGACCTGGGAGTTTGGATGGACAGGAAGCTGAACATGAGCCAGCAGTGTGCCCAGGTGGCCAAGAAAGCCAATGGCATCCTGACCTGCATCAGGAACAGTGTGGGCAGCAGGACCAGGGAAGTGATCCTTTCCCCTGTACTCTGGCCTCACCCCTGTACAAGGTGAGCCCACACCTTGAGTATTGTGTTCAGTTCTGGGCCCCTCAATTCAGGAAGGACATTGAGGTGCTAGAGCAGGTCCAGAGAAGAGCAACCAGGCTGGGGAAGGGACTTGAGCACAAGTCCTGTGAGGAGAGACTGAGGGAGCTGGGGTTGTTTAGCCTGGAGAAGAGGAGGTTCAGGGGAGACCTCATCACTCTACACTCTACATGAAGGGAGGTTGTAGCCAGGTGGGGGTTGGTCTTTTCTCCCAGGCAATTATCAGTAAGACAAGAGGGCATGGTCTTAAGCTCTGCCAGGAGAGGTTTAGGTTGGATATTAGGATGAAATTATTTATGGAGAGACTAATAAGACATTGGAATGGGCTGCCCAGGGAAGTGGTGGATTCACCATCCATGGAGGTTTTTAAGATGAGACAGGATGTGGCACTTAGTACAATAGTCTAGTAACCACAGCAGTGTTGGATCAAGGGTTGGACTTGATGATCTCGGAGGACTTTTCCAACCTGGTTGATTCTATGATTCTGTGATATTCTTTCAATGAAATTTTATTTTGCTGAAGCACACTCCAGCACTGGCTGCTTTCGTCTCCAGTGGGTGGTGCGTTCTGATGTGCTTGAGCAAACACTTTTGTCCTTGGACCAGCTCTCATCATTGAGTAAAACTAGTTTGAAGGCTTGGGCATATATTCAGGATTTTCTACACACTCTTAACTCTGTGCATTTCTAGAAGAAAAACAAATAAACAAACTAAAACCAACCACACACAAAAAATCCCCACCAAGTGCCCCAAACTAAAAACCAAACAAAAATCAATGAACAAGAGTCAATGGAGCTGAGGGAAATGAACCATTTCATCCCCATTTTGGAGACTCCAAACAGCATGAGAACTGGTATAGGAAACTGAGGATGTAGAGTATGCCAGGATCACACAAAAAGTGATAGAACTTGCTTCTTCATCATGGCATGGAGATGTGTGTCCTGGGTAGTCTCTTATGCAGTGTGCACTCATTATTCCTTCACAAGCTTGTCTTGCATCCATTTGGACTATTGTATGTCTGTCAGAGGCTGCATCTCATCCCAACACTTTAATTTGTCTCTCTCCTGGTCACCTTTCCAATTTCTTCAAAAAGAGTTTGGTTAAATGGCAGAGGGATTGTGAGTGCATTTGTTGTTGAGAGCTTTGTGGTCTCTCTTTACCTGAGGAAGTAGTATTGTAGTTTAGCTTGAAGTGTGTGAAAAGCTAAGCTGGGCTCAAGTTTTATGTTCTGTTCTGAAAAAAGTTTCACATGCATTGTTCTTCTTGCAAAAGGCAGCTCTATAAAGGTCTAATGGCTTCCATGGCTTTGCCCTGGAATGTCCCCCACCCTGGGCACATATCTGAGCTTCTGAGATTTCCTAGCTCGCGGTTCCCTACCAGTATCTGAAAAGCCTTCAGTATTGTATGAGTCTATTGAGTGCAAAATTAAACAGACCATTGAAACACATAGCAGATTGTTGACATAAACGTAAAAGACAAGGTAGCTAAGACCATGAAGTGGCAGAATGAAAGAGGGCTAGAGAGGGGTTTATTTCTTCTTTCATTTTATCTAAAATTTTTACCATCAGCCTTCCTTCACACTAGATGCTTTCTTTGCTGCTTCATATGTCATTCTATTTCTCCTCACTTTTCAAATCAACTGCCAAAATTTCCACATGTGCAGTAACCTTAAAATTCACATTTTCCATTTAAATATTGTTTGTGATTTTTGAGTGGTTGTTGTGGTGCATCCTTACTGCAAGTTAGCAACGAAAGTCAATAAAAATATACAAAAAACTAAGTGGAAATCCAGTCTTAATAAGAAGATGGATAACAGATGGATAGATGCAGCCAGTGGCAAGCTCAGATATTAATTCACCTTTAGACTGGAAAATGGGTGTTTGCTGAATTCAAAGAGCTAGTTGTAGAAAGGAGGTGTTGTTGAAAGACCTAGCAGGAACTGGACTTGAGAAGAAGCTCGTAGCATCGGGGCTGCTCCTTTTTACCTCCATCAAGTGTGAAGGTAAGACTAGTGAGAGTATTAGCCTTTGTTACTCACTAGGTATCATCTTCCTTATATTTAATCAGTATTTAGATTTTAATTTTGCTCCTAATGTTTCTGACCTGAAGAGAAGCTTTGCAAGCTCACTCAAGTTTTTCCAACTTCAGCAATCGACCTGTTAAAGAAATTCCGTCCCTTTCTACAGCCCTCTCTTCACCTATGTCCTCAGACCATCAGAGAAGCAATTGCCACTGTGACAGTACTGGAAAGGACTTTCCACCAGTGACAAAAAAGACAAATTTTTACAAAAATTGTGACTGTCACCATTTAGTAACCTGGAAAATGACTCAGCATATAAGAAATGATGATTACTTGTCCAAAGTAAGTCAGCTATTATTATATTGTTCAAATGGTATAGCAAAAGGATGTATGGTATGTTTGCGCAGCAAATGAACGGAATACACTTGACTTTTCTTACAATTTATAGCTGATTACAATCTTTTAACTGATCTCACAATTCAAGTACAATGTACCAAAAGAGACAAAATGCCTGTGTTTCTATGAGTTTAGGAGAAAGTTTTGGATTTTTTTTTTTTTTAAGAACTAATGTAAACAGCCTTTTTAATACTGTACATTTTTTATTCCCATCAAAGCTTGTCCATTAAATGACTTTTGAGAATTCTCCAAAAGATTGATTACACACCTAATTAAATTTTCTAAAAATCTGGGCCAAAGGTGCAGAATATTGAGTATTTTTGAGGGTGAATTAGGAGATACCACATTCAAGAAAACTGAAAAGGTGTTAGCTCTCTTTCTTTGCAGTTGTATGCCTATTACCATTATCCAGAAGCATATAATTTTCTGTATGTGTACTGGACTAGACGAACACCCAGAATATGAAGGGGAGTTGATGAGTTACTTGTGATTTTAGCCCTATTTCAGCTGAAATAGATCTAGGTGCTAATTACTGCACACAGTGACATTGATGAAACTCTCCTAGCCATGTAGGCCCAAAAAAAATGAATGGGTTGCATTAATCTGTGGTAATTTTTATCAGGACAGAAGAGACATAAATGATGTCCTTAATTCATGTACCTCAAAACAGATTATGGACACAAGATACTGCAGATATCATTTGTTTTATCTGTTTGTTAAGATTGTTTCCTAAGAAAACTATAATGAAAGTTGCTAAGGTAGGAGTGTAGAGGAGGTTTTTTATTATGATGTGCTATATTTTCAGTAAAGTATTTCATGCTTTGTTGTTTTGACCAAGAGATGAGAACAAATCTGTGGTATGTAGCAGCCAGAAAACCAGAATTTATATGCTTATCACTTCACTATGGAGCATGCCTGGCAGCACAATCACCCTGACTGCAAAATATCACAGGGGCTGGCTATTTCTCAGGAATGCAATACGTCTGGCCCATCTTTAACTTAAGACTGCAACAGCTGCAAGTAGCTCATGGGACTTCAAATGCACAAAAGAAATTAATTCTAAGATAACTAGGCATATAAATGAAGGTCTATCGGCAAATAGCTGTTAAGGATGCAGAAATAACTCTGCCTCCTTTCCCACTAACCCCAAAAACTACATTACATTCAAAATTCTTGAATGATCATATGGTCATCATCCCAGTTTTCCAGGTCAGGGAAAGGAAAACAAGAGCGGTCAGGATACAGTGAACGGTAAAATAATGGGCTAAGCAGCAACACTGATCTTGTTCTCCATGTGGTTTGAGAATATGTCTCTTAGGTCAGGCTGTGCCTCCGCTGTTTTATCTCATAAATATCTATGGTGTCTGGTTACACCAGGTGCTGCAAAGCATCCTGGGAGTTGTAGTTCTAAGTACTCTGTCACACATGCTCTGTTGAATGCTTGTATGGGATTGGCTTAAGTTACCTGTGTGACGTGGCAGCATTTGAAACTGCTATATAAGCCGGGACTCCTTGAATAAACGATCTCTTGTTACACATCTCGTTGGTGTCGCTATGGTCCCCATGGGACTTATTATTTATTATATTAATAACTGCTACATATGGCGCCCCAACAGTGACCTAAGCTTTATCCTGAATCAGGAAGAAATACGGACAAGACGTCAGGAACCAGCCTATATTTAACGCTGAGGGACGTCCGCCGTGAAAAAGAAATAAACGCCAGGTACCAGAGGAAAGGAAACTCTGATGGGCGTAGGCGGGAGAAACCGCGATTGAGCTCGAAAAAAGGCCTGAACTCTGTAGGAAATTGCCTACGTTTTGAGAGGACGCTCTCGAGAAGAAAAATCTACATCCCAGGTGAGAGGGCGGGAGAAATAAGAAAACAAAAAGAAGAGAAAAATTGAAAACTTTTAATTCACGTGAACTGCAGAATATTGCAAAAGCCTTAAGCTTAATATTGAAAAGACTTTGGAGACAAGTTAACAAACATAAAATAGCTGGACTTTTAAAATTGATGACAATAACTGTTTTAAGACTGCTGTTATTTACAATTCTTAGTGAAATTGCTTGGAAAGAGGGGTGGAGAAACAGAGAGAAAACAGAAGTAAAAAAGGTGGACACTTTAAAACCCTTGCAAGAGAACTCGTCCACAGAGAGAAACTTTGGATCTTCCCCTCCCCCAAACATTGTAAAGCATGGAACTCCACGTGATACTGCAGTGTGGAAAGGGGGAGTGGGTCCGAGAGCATGGAAGAAAAACCTTAGAATATACCTTTTTGTGCTGAATTTTTGCGGATGCATGAATTTCGGGAAGAAGATGCGTGTCGCGGATTGTGTGACTAGTAAAAGGGAACAAACTTTGAATCCCCAAGCCATTAAAAACTTGCAGACACGTGGAGACCACGCCGGAGCATGGGCGGCGCCATCTTGCCCATGCCGGGAGCAGGAGGTAGTGCCTTCTCTTCCTGTCTCGTGGCCATGTTGTGGACTGCCTCTGCTGGAGGCATGCATGGAACATGGTCCGTGCTGGGAGCCGGTAGCTAAGCAACAACTGCTGTGCCTACCAGCAACAGCGGCGCGATGTTTAAAAAAGATGGAGAACGTGATAGCTGCAAGGTGCGTGGCGCGAGATTCGAAACAGCGACCACAGACCAAGTCCCCCCGCCTCGCCGCGAGGACACCCCATCATGGACCATGGTGGCAGCGGGCTTGAGGAAACTCTGAGCCGAGGGGGCCGAGCAGAGCCGGGGCCATAAGCGACAGTGCCAATGCGGACCCCATGCCCACCGCAGCGGCCCCACCCATGCCTGCTGAAGGCGGCAAACCCAACCCGGCCGCTGCGGGCAGCGCCGCACCCAGGGCAGCGCTGGGCGGGGGAGCTGGGGTGCTGCAGGGTGCCGAGGGCGGCGTGGCCGGCGAGAGGGGGTCCGTGCTGTTGTCCACAGCCATGGCCGCTCCCCCGGATGGGACCACGTCCAACGGCGTGTACATCCTGCTCGTGGCCAATGGTGACGTGAAGCCCATGGTGTCCACCACGCCGTTCGTGGACTTCCTAATGCAATAAGAGGACACGCCCATGATACCAGATGCTGTGACGGAGCGTCTCGGAGCAGCGTGGAGCCGCTCGAGAATATGAGCGGAGAAACAAGCGATCGAACAGGCCTGCACCGGGGGTGTAACGCAGGTTTGTAAATGGGGCCAGGGGCGGCAATTCAGACTAGCAAAGTCAAGACTGCTTGTATGGGATTGGCTTAAGTTACCTTTGTCACATGGCAGCATTTGAAACTGCTATATAAGCTGGACTCCTTGAATAAACCATCTCATGTTGGTGTCGCTTATGGTCCCCATGGGACTTATTATTTATTATATTAATAACTGCTACAAATAACCAATCTTTTGCTCAGTTTTAACCAGACCTTTGAATGGAAGAAGATGTTTCCACTGTCATTGACCATAAGCCTGACTGTCTACTTTTCCTGGCATTTCTCCCTCTCCCCATTCCAATTATTCACAGGTTTCATGATAATGAAATACATAAGGAGGCATCTGAAAAGTCAGCATAGGCAGTTCTACAATTTTTTGAATTTTTGTCCTGGGTGGTACAGAGAGAATCCCACGGAGGGCATGGTGGGCAGAGCTCCACTATTATATATTGCTTTCAGCATTGGCTGTATGTGTTCCAACCCCTGCTACCCTTTATGGCATGGAGGACAAAGCAGATGAGGAGTAGGGAGTTGGATTTATTTAAAGGAAACTGAAGAGAATGTTATGGAGCAACACATCAAAATCCCTAGAAGACAAAGATTGCTTACTTTTAGTCTTCATAGCACTGCTCATTCCATTTCCTTAAATCATTTTAGATGATGCATATACTTTCTGCTTTAGTCTTGCTCTAATTTTCTTAGCTTGTATTCTGGGAACATTTTAAATCTGCTTTGAATGTAAGTTTGATTACATCACATGGAAGTCCTTACAAGCAAAGCTTGGATTATACAGAAACGTATTTGTAAAAAATGCATTTACATGACAGAAAAGCAAAATACAACTGCACTCAGATTAGGGTTGCTCCTTATTTCAGCTGTAATTTCCAGGGTTTCAATGGTGGTTGCATGAGTAGCTAATTAATAGCAGTGTTCTTTCTTCATGGCTAAAGGAAAGTTTGATTCAAAGCTTATCAACTAGGATGACTCTATTTTAATCTCAGGGAAAATAACGATGTGTGAAAGAGCTCTGTGTCTCTATCAGGTTGCTAGCTCTCACTGACCCTTGCACCTGTGGCTTCAAATGAATGCTTTAATCTCTTCAGGGCTTGTTACACACTAACCAACAACATAGCAGGGAGTCTAAGACTGTCACTGAAAATCACCTGTAAAGGCAGTACTAATAAGAAATGGAACATTTCGTGAACTTTCCCTATCAATAAATGCGAAACCCATTCTTGGCTTTTGTGCAGGCGTGCAAATGCTATACTTCTGTCCAGGTTACTTGTCCAGGTAGGATTTGTCTTGGATACAAACTGCAGTAAGCCATCAGTCTCAGAAAATAATGGCTGAAGTCAGTGTTTTATGATCTCTGGAGATCTAATTCTGTTACTCTCTAGAGGTTCCTGGAAGAAGATTAAGTACAGAGCAGCTATGATTGCTATATGTGCTCAAACTGCAAATAAGTCGCAAGTAGGCTGGACACTTGTTATGCTGAATCCCATGGGGCAGGAAAATATCATTGCCTGCTTCCTGGTACTTTGTCACGTATATGAATTGGTTCTTGGGAAAGAACAAATGAACAAATGTCCTTGTCGCTGGCAATTTAGCTAGCTCAGAGGATTTCCTCTGACCATAACCGAAAGGGATCAGCAGAGAGTCTGCTTGGAGTTTCATCAAGATTTATTCCACTTCGCCATCTGACTTTGGCAAGCAACCTTCCCTCCTTCTTATAAATGCCAGAAAAGTGCTGTTTCTTGGAAATTGCACAAGGCACAGCTACACTATAGGATTTCAAAGCTGGAACTAGGTTTTAAATCACTGCTCACCATGCAGATACTTTTCTATCACTAGCAACATGCAATATTACTATGATTTCTTTATAGTATGAGAAAGTCCAAACCAGTGTCAAGGTACAGGCAAAACATAGACTTAGAGACAGTCCCTGCTGTTTTCTGGATGAGAAAGTGATGGCAAGTCAGAAGAGTTGTTACCATCTATATTTTATTAAGGGTGATATGAAGAAAGAAGGGTCAAAATGCCATCTATGGAAGCACACAGTGTCTGCAGCTTTTTTGCCACAATGTATTCCTGAAAAGGGACTCCAGTCCCAGCTTTGGACATCCAGCTGAGGAGTAATGTATCTCCCAGCCATGGCACACATATTGGTTCAGGGTGACTAGGTCTCACCCGAATACTGCAAAGGGATGGGTCATCCATTGTTGTCCTAGAATTGGAAAGCTTTCCTAGAACAGATATAGCTGTTTATATATTTATATATATATATATTTATATATTCAACCAAGATCTTGTCTGCCTTCTCTCCCATATATTCTGACTGTACCTGGACGGTACAGCTGCTGGGGTGTCAGATCTCAGGAAGGAGATCTAAAATTAACATGAGGCAGTAATGCCATCCAAGTGGTACCATGGCCTCTTGCCAGAGCAATGCCTTGGGGATCTTGTTAACTCCTTCTGTCCATTTTACTGCTGCTTTCTGCCTGGTAAATGTCAAGCTCATCGGTCAACCTTACTTGTAAGAGGAATGAAGTTCTAAAGATAAATTCTTACAAGTTTTATGAAAGCGAGTATCCAGATAGAATAGAGAACAAAATTAGCAATTCCTCTGGGATCTTAAGTGCCCTTAAGCATCTGGCAGTAGCTGGTTAGTGGAACAGTGAAATTCCAACCTCACTCACTCCAACTGGTGTGAATCAACGTGTGCCAGGGCCAGCTGGGACCAAGTGCTGCATGCGTTCTAAGCTCGTGAGGATGCATGGATGTCCAGGAAGGAGTGGTTAACTTTGGTAGTAGATGGAAGATTTAGGAGACGAAACCCACAAATATGAAGGAAAGAAGACTAAAGTCACTCTTTCAGCAATGCACCTTAAAAAAAAATGAACTAATGGTGAAATGACAAGCTGAGCTCTAATTTTATTGCTGTCTCCTCCCATGGCCACTAACAGGATTTCAGTGCTTTGTTTGTGGTAGTAAATCTGTTTTTCTGTGTGCCACTTGTTTTTGTCTTCTCCCTTTATTTCCTTTTCTTGTATTCTTAGGGATTTACTTCACACAATCCACTGAAAAACAAAAGTCACTCTGAACCCTTACTAAGGGAAACCACTAGCATACAATAATCACCTTAAGAAACATGAGTTTTGCAGAAATTTACCCAAACTTGAGAAGCTACCATATTTTATTTCCTCTTTGCAAATTTGGGCTACATAAAATAAGGAAATAATATAATGAAATAAATAATGACGTCTCATATAGCACTGTGAATTAACTAATGTAAAAAGTCACTTTTCAAGTGACTTGCATGTCATGCATGTATTTATAGCATCTTCCCATCCATCAGCTGTTCTCTTAGTACACAATGTAGTACTTGCATGTCAAACACTTAAAACAATAAAATACAACATGATCTCACCTTAATATGTAGAGCACCTAATTCAGCTTGCTTTCTAAAATCCTTCATAGAGAACAATAGTAATCCTTGATTTATAGCCTGAAAAACAGTGGATGGAGAAAAGAAATTAATCGTCAGGGAAAGGGTATGCAGATCAGTTCCTAGAGCCATCGGATTCAGTGAAGCAGAGGGCTCCAGGTCCAGAGGGCTTGGGCAGGCGGGCCAGCATGGCTGCTTCAACAGGGCGCAGAGAGCAGGTTGGTACTGCTAGAGCAGGAGTAGCAGGGTGAGGCAGAGAGCATAATGGAGGCCAGTGTGTAAGGGTGCTCAGAGGATTTAAATGCACGGATGGATGGGGATTTTGCTACTGATCTGGAAATGTATGGGTGAGACTAATGGACTAGTTGGAGGGACAAGGGAGAGATGTAAATACTGCAGGGGAGACTGGAGAGGCAGAAGGCTGGAAAGGAGATTTATGAAATTAGAAAATATAGCCAAGCCTGCCAAGTATCCAAACCATGCAGCTGGACAACTTGCAAAGAGACATTTAGCTTCGACAAATGACAGATAGCTTGGCAGGAAATAAAAACAACATGAACTGGAAGTTGTTTGTACAACTTGCAGCAGAAATGACTGTCAGATTATATATAGCATAGGCTAAATGTGCCTCAGGGCAACAAGGAAGTATTTTCTTCCTCACACAAGGAACAGTCTCAGTGTGTGTAGGGTGTTGCCATCATCTGGACAAGGGAAGAAGGGGGCTGTGGTGCACAACTTGCAGACTTTCTTATGAGCCTGACACCTGCTTCCTTGACCAGCTGCCTGGAAAAACATGTTTCTGTGTTTTGGGTTCTTTTCTCAGATGAGGAAGGAAGTCTATGCTACTTCACTTTCCCAGGGGAAATCACTACTGGCAGAGTATCTGTCAACAGTATATTTTAGTAACATATTAAACATGAAAACATTCTTATGTCAGAAATCTCCTAGATTAAAAGGGAAGGTCTAACTGTAGGCCTTCCTTTAATAAAAGTAAAAAATTCTTTCCTTCATAAAATGCACTAGCAGTAAAGATTTTGGAAGAGAAAAAGTGCTGCTAGAGAAACTTCTTAGGCACTTACTTCAGATCCTATTTCTTCTTGAACAAATGTCAGCAGTTTATTCAGAAATATAATTTATCAGCTACAGATGGTCAATTAGTTACCATCTTTTCATAAGTGTAAATCTTTTAAGGAATATTTGGAACTTTGAAACATTGGAGTAAAATGAAAAAGTGAGTAAGGATGAATCTGGTGGTCTGTAGCAATGGAGCTGTGGTTGCACAGAGACTGCAGGATTTGATCCCATTTGTGGAGTCGACAGCAGCAGCTGCCAGTGCTGCTCACTTGAGAGAGGCACTGTGTGTCAGGACTCCCGCTATCAATGCCTGGTTTCAGATATATAGAAACAGATTGTGCAAAACCAGCCTCGTGGGGAGGCAAATAACCTTTCTTTAAACATTATTTTCTTCTTTTAAAGCTGACTTCTGTT